GCCTCACCGTTTCCAAACTCCATTTTTTTCCTTCCTTTTTGTGTTTTTGGGTGTTGGTTTCGGTTGTTTTCCCACCTGGAGCCAAAGCAGGAATAAAAAAAAAAGGGCCAAAGGGCCCCAAATCCTCGTGCTGGGATCACCCCTCAGTGCCGTGGGTGGCACTATAATTAAATCCGCTGAAACCCCCCAAATAAAACAAAAACTACCCTGCAGGAAGCAGAGCACGGGGAGGAAATTTCTGGGAGCTGCCGGCTGAAAATCAGGAGCCAAAATCTGGCCTGAAACAGAAAATTGGTTCAAAATAATTCAATTTTTAAGGCCCAGCAGCTCTGAGAGTCAGCGGCGCTCGGGTCACCCAGGACAGATCAGATTTTGGCAGCATCTTTCTGCCCTGGGTTGTCCATCAGCCAAACCCACCCTGCCCAACATTCATGGTGTTGGAAGCTCGTCGGTGTCTTCTCCTGCAGACTGGCCTGGGGATTTCAGGGTGGACGTTGCCTCCAGAGCACGTTCCCTGCTGCCCCAAGTGCTGATGGAAGAGCAAAGGGAGCGGAGCCCACGGTCTCTGGTTCTGCCTTGTCCCCCCCTGACCCACATGGGTGTTCCTCCTCTGAGGCACACGCTCAGCTGTTGTGAAGGGCCTGAAAGACATGTAGGAGTGACACGTGTCCCACACCTCATCTGTGGACAACCTCTGCCCCCTGGCACCATGGCCTGTTGACTCTTCCCAGCTGATTTTTTGGTGAAATCCCTGCCCCATGGAGCCATAAAGGCAATGGCTCGGTGGGGGCCGGGCCAACCCGATGAGATCATGACCCTGGAGCGACTGAACTTGTCCTCCACTGGGCACCATCTCCTCAGCCCTCCCAAAACCTGTCCTCACTGCAGGCACTGCTGGAGCCTCCAGCCCCTTCCTGCCGCCAGCTCCCTCCTTGCCCAGGGGCTTGCTCAGCTCCACAGCAGCACCTTCCAGTATTTCTGATGTTGCCTCAGCTCTTGGGGTCTAATTAGATCAGAAACCAGCAGAGGTAGCAACACGAGGGGAGCTGTCTTGGGGGAAGCACGCAGCATTTTGAGGGGATAGGTTCCCCCTTGCCAGCATCACCTCCCTGCTCTGCAGCAGGACCATCCTGCAGCCATGTCCCTGCTTCCCACAGCACAGAGAGCACCAAGCCTGAGCACGAGCCCACCATCTCCACAGCTCACCTCTTGATCCCTTCTGGATGCGTTCACACACAGCTACAGCCATAGCAGTTTTGCTTTTTGGGGACAAATTAAGGACTTCCTGCCACCCCGAGGCTCTGCAGGACAGCAGGGAGTTACAGGGGAGGGAGGGTCAGGGGTCTCTGCTGGAGGTGGAGGAAAGCACGTGTGAAATCCCACCAGAGGCCAGGGACATCCCAAGCTACCCGAGGCCTACAGACCTCAGCCCCATCTCCTCCTGTCATTGTGTGGATCTTAATGATGGGAAACGGATAAAACTGGGGCAGGGATCCCCGTTTCCCAGAGGAGCATAAACCAACACATGTGATGCTGCTGTAATTAGCACCGTGGCAAAGCCCATGCAGTAATTAACTTTCTCCCTTCCACGTTAAGATTTAATAACATGCAGTAAAGTAAGACCTAGGGCGATGAAACAAGCAGGGAAAAAAATCACCAAATTAGACCCTTGTGACTCGATAAGGAATTAATTATAGCCTGGTCTAATAATAATAATAATACATTAATCTGCCCTTGTGCTCCAAGTGAGGGAGGCTGAGAAAAGGTGCATGAGATGTCCCACATCGACTCTGACAAACAGGTTTCTGCCAAGCATGGTGGGTTTGGGAGGAGCTGCTGCACCCGGCAGGGCTGCGAGATGAAAACCTAGGGTGAAAAAGCTCCTGAGGTGCCAGGGAGCTGCCTCAAACCTCCCATCCCTCAGTGGTCCCAGCAAAGAAACAGCTCTTCCCACAGGGAACTGGTGCTGCCAGCAGCCTGGGGCATCTCTCGAGGCAGCTCCCAGGGTGTGCTGGGGCGTGGGGGCAGGAAGAGAGGGAGGCTGGAGGCTGGAGGAGCGGCTGTGCCTGGCCAAAGAGATACACGGCAGACGTGGCAAGCTCCAGGGATGGTGCTGCTCCCCAGAGGTCTCTTGGGGGTGCAAAGAGGTTCTCTCTCCCCTTGGGAGAGTCAGCAGACGTGGAGATGGAGAGGTGTGATGGAGGGTGAGCTGGGAGAACTGTGGTGCTGCAGCAGACTCCAGTGGGGCACCCAAACCCCTCCCACCTGCCGGCAAGAGCAGGAGCAGGACACGCCAGGGCCTCTGTGTGAGACCAACAAAGCAGTGCTAGAAAGGGAACAAGCATGTCTAGAGGAGCTAAAGGGGTTATCTTGGGGCACCAAAACCCCTCCCACCTGCCGGCGAGGGGCAGGAGCAGGACACGCCGGGGCCTCGGTGTGAGACCAACAAAGCAATGCTAGAAAGGGAGCAAGGATGTCTAGAGGAGCTAAAGGGGTTATCTGGAGAGCACACTCATGAGCCAGCCCAAGCCTGACACACAGACTGAGCCCTGAACTGCATCAGGTGTCACCCAGCAGTGCAAAACCCCTCCCACCTGCCGGCGAGGGGCAGGAGCAGGACACGCCGGGGCCTCGGTGTGAGACCAACAAAGCAATGCTAGAAAGGGAGCAAGGATGTCTAGAGGAGCTAAAGGGGTTATCTGGAGAGCACACTCATGAGCCAGCCCAAGCCTGACACACAGACTGAGCCCTGAACTGCATCAGGTGTCACCCAGCAGTGCCGAAGGCAGCGGAGTCTTCCTCAGCAGGGGGTAAGGAGAGACAGAGCAACGCCCAGGAAGGTCAGAGTGACTGCCTGATGCAGGCAAGCCCCCAGGAAGGTGAGTGGCTGCCGTGCCCAAGGCCATGCCATGGGGTTCCACCACCACCTCAGAAGTCAGGACAGCCCAACCACAAATGCAGGTGGGGGTAGTACTTCTCCAGGAACCACCACCTCCACCCTTGGTGAGCCTGGGGTCACAATTCCTGTTCCATAAAGGGTCCCCACCCCTCCCACACCTCCAGCAGAGGAGGAGGCCAAGGCCAGTGTGCACATGCAATGCCCTGAGCAGCACATAAAGTCACTACATTGTCATCTTGGGGGTGTAAAACAATCTTGGGAGAATCTGAGCAGATCTGATGTTACATGTCAGGATCCAACCTGGACACCTCCATCAGTGCATTTCTACCTCAGCTCCTCTGAGAGGAGCAGGTGAGCTCCTGGATGAGCCCTGTGCAGCTGGACAGAGGAAGGACATCTCCTCAACAGCTCTTACCTTTGCCTCTTCCCAGTTCTTGATGGAAAAAGAGAAGCTGGAGATGCCCTACCAGCCCCACATGGCACTGAGTCTCTCTGGGAAAGCTAAGGGGACATTTGCCATGCAGAGAGGATGTGGGGCACACCTTGCAGGTACACTGGTGATCAAGATGATTATTTTCTTTTCTCCACTGCTCCAGCACAGAGACATTCAATGTCCTGCATGTTTCCATCTCACCCTGGCAGCAAAACCACTGGAAGCCAAGGGGGACACACAAGGACTGTGACACAACCTTTGAAGAGCACCTGAAGCCTGCACGGCACTTTTGAGGATGCTCTTCCCAGAGCAAAGAGCTCCAGGTCACCTCATGAGCCAGACTCAGGAGTTCAGACCAGCTGGCACAGAGACCAAGAGACTCTGGTCACTACAGACCCTTCTGTGCAGGGTTCCAACAGCTCCTCCCAGGCCATGGAGCTTCCTCAATATGAGTGTTTTAACAAGGAGCAAAATCCAGCCCTGAAACCAGCACCTGCCACAGGTAGTCCCAGGGAGTTACACCAGAGTTGGGCAGGCAAGACACATTTTATAGCATTATCACATCTGCCCCAAGCCCTCTTGCCCCAAGCCCTCTTGGAATTGACTCCACCTGATATTATTTGCCTCTTGCCACAGCTTGGCATGAGTCAAAAGAAATAAATTACTCAATTACTAGAAAATCCAGAAAGGCTGAATGCAGAATTAGTCTCATTAAAGCACAGAGCAAGTCATGGTTGCACCAGCATTTTGGTTTCTTGGTCTCCTTCCTTGCCCTGCCTCCAGCAGCGTGCAGCACAGCGTGTCCTCAGGCAGGGAGCTACCCAGCAGGTCCCCTGGGGTCACTCCTGTGCCTTGGTGAGGCCCTGGAAGTTGGGCTCTGTACACGGGGGCAGGGCTGCCTGCCTGCTCAGCAGCTTCTCCAGCAGGTTGATTTCAGCATCTCGTCTCTCGATGTCCTCAAACGGAGTCCAGGACATGTCGTGCTGGAGCTTATAGGCACCCAGAAATTCATGGGGGCTGGTCCCCCATTCCTGGAGGAGAAAGGAGAGATTCACATGGCTGCTCAGCTTCCCTTGGAGCTGGGCTGGGCTGTTCCTCAGCCCAACCTCTGCCCATCCCAGACAGCCCAACCACCTTTGAAGCAGTCTCAGCTACGTGACCATCCCATTTTCTAACCAAAAAATAGGCTCAGCTGCCCTGAGTCTAAGACCAGGTCAAGCTACACTGCTGGTGATGCAGGGAGCCACGGGGCTACAAGATCTTGACCCACAGGGACCTCCTCTACGTGTTCCCCACTTTGCTCTGAAACCATCACCCTGCACGTAATAAAACAGGGGGTCTGGAAGGAGGATACCTCCAAGAGCACCCCTCTGAAGTGCAGACAGACTCAATCCCTGGGCTGTAGCTCCTGAGCAGACTGCTCTCCCTGACAGTGTCCCAGGGCACATCTGCAGTTCTTTACTGCCAGAGAAAGAACTGCAAGGACCAAAAGGCAGAATTCAGGTCCATGCACCAAAGGTCTTCCTGCCCACCATCCACCAAGACCCAAGAGAACATCATAATATGGCTCTTACACCAGCAGTGACTCAAATTGAGGACAAACATCAGCCAAGCAGGAGCCAGCAAAGGTCCCCATTAAGCTGGTGCTTCTGTCTGAGGTTCAGAAGTGCCCAAGCACCAGGAATGAGGGGGAGTTTCTCCTCCTTGCTTCCTCAGGAGCTGTAACCACCCACCTTAGGAGAGAGGATGGAGAAGTAGCGCTGGCCACTCTCCCGCCTGTACATGTAGTAAATGTTCCCTGGCTTCTTCACCAGGTTGCAGGCCACATGGTGCAGATCAGCATCTCTGTTAGCTTCATCCAACACCTACAAAGACAAGTGTAAAATTTCCACCCTTGAAATTAAACACGCCTCTCAGCCAGGACCTCAGGTCTGCACCCCTCCAAGGAGGTGGAGATACCTCCAGGCGTCAAGGACCTCTTCACCACAGCTCTGGGGTCACCTCTGTGCCAGGCTGGACTCGTTCATCTCCATACACAGCTGGGGGCTTCCCTGCTGCTGTCCCCAAGGGAAGGGACACCAGACAAAGGGGAATTCATCTCCCTGGCTCCACCAGTGCATGATTAGATGACGCAGAGGCCCGGATGGCAGCAGGCCAGTTGCAGTGACTGGCAGCTCCCTTCCCACTCGGGCTCCCAGATTTCACCCCGCAGGGTGAAGTCTGAAGTGGAGAGGAGAGCTGAGCCCTGCTGGGTTTGCTGCTGGGCAACCTGCTCCAGCAAACGAGCTGGGACAGACTGGAAAGCCCAGCCCACCGTCAGGGAACAGCTCCTCCCCTGCAGGGGCTCAGAGCCACCACAGCCACACTGTCACCCCACTGTGTGAGTCCTCCCAGGAGCACAGCACACACACAGGGTGACAGAGTCTGTCCCCAAAGCAGAGTCACCTCCCTGCCCTCCCAGTTAGAAATTAGAGATGTGCATTTGATGAGTGGACCATCTGGTGGGTGAGGAGCTGGCTGGATGGTCAATGGCTCGATGTCCACATGGGCATCAGTGACAACAGTGTCCCTCAGGGTCCATCCTGGGACCAGTATTGTTTAATATCTTCATCAATGACACAGACAGTGGGATTGAGGCACCCTCAGCAAGTCTGCAGGTGACACCAAGCTGAGTGGTGTGGTTGACACTCCTGAAGGACAAGGTCCACCCAGAGGGACCTGCACAGGCTTGAGAAATGAGCCCATGTGAACATCATGAGGTTCAAC